CTATACTGAGTCCTGTTTAGGCGGAGGGTCTTTGGTCGCGGGCGCGATTTTCAGAGCGGTGTTCTTCGTCCTTGCGGTTGGCGGTGTTTACGGCGGGGTTTGTGGGGGCAAACATAAGTAACAAAGGGTGGAAGGATAGCTTAGGGGGTTGTGTGTAGTGGGGTTAGGGGAGTTCCTTAAGCATGCCCGGGAGTAAGCGATAATTCCTTTCATCTAGACGTTGCAACGCGGTTGAATTGGGGGGGGGGGGGTCAAAGAAGTTGATTATCGCTTACTCCCGGGAGTAAGCGATAATCCGTCTGTGACTCTGAACATGGTGAACAACACAACAGATGAATATACTAGCTGCTTCTCAATGATATATGGACAACTCTCAAAGCTGACCCTACCAGAATACAGCGCAGTTATCCTGGTCCTGGAGACTCATTTCTTACCGAAGCTAACATGAGACTGTCGATAAGGTGCAAAGGCCAACTCACCTTCTACTGCCCTGGAGTTGGTGTTCTAAAATGAACGGGTCGAGGAAGGAAACCTAGGGTATTGGCACCAGTGGCTGAGACCCCGGGATACCGTAAACACTTGAATAAAAAGGAAGGCTCCGGGACCATTCTGGGGAATGGAATCGGTGGGCGTGTGGCAAGGGGCAAAGGTTTTCGGGTCTGAATAGACGCGTCTTGTTGCTTCCAGCTCTGGGAGTGTTGATTCCATTCACGGCTGGAATGAGGTACCGGTAACAGCCTGCTCACGGGGATGCGGTAACCTAATCCTTCACCCTGCATAAAGGAAGCAATAACTTGAACGAATAATGGCTTATATCATACCGGTATCCCCCCGGAGGGTCGTACTCTAACATTATGAAAATACCTGCCAAGGAATAGAGCTGGCCTTCCAGAGCTCCTCATCCAGGCTTTGAAAATCAGGCAAATATTTGTATCCAGGTGGTGAGTATGATTGCCTTCTGCCAGACGTGGAAATGGCCGACGAACAAGGGATGATCGACCCGGTTAGTTCTTAGGAAGAGGACGGTGATGCGCACATGGCCTCGGATGCCAACACCATCTTCAGTCACACAGGAAACTGCGTTGGAGATGCCAGGAGGAGGAGAAACCCTCGTTACTAGGGCTTCGAGGAATAGCGACGGAGGGGGGGGGAGGGCGATTAGCAGCGACAATGAGTAGATTGCATTATTTTACTTTATATTCACTGACACTTGAATTATTAGTAATATATTATGATCAAATAGCAGCAGTGTTCTAGGTTAGCTAAAGTATCTGCTAGACAACCCTTTTCTTTATACTATCCTTCTTTTTTTCCTTTTCCCTAGCAGGCTACATTTTGGACTATCCGAATTTTTAGGATAATATCGTACATCTAGCCGTCAGCCATTATCGCGTCTTATGCGCGTGTAGCACAGGATGATGCAAAAAAAATTTTCTTACCGTACAGCTTCGCAACATGTGCGCTCTATGTATGTTGAACAAGCACTTCACAAGGGACAACCTCATTACCCGTGCAGCACTCCTTCCCCGTTCCTCCCGGACAGAGATAGCGGCCCCTACAAACCGCCTCCTAACATATCTCCCTGCCCCAATGGTCACAGAAGGCCTATACGGTCGCATGGCCCTCTCTCAGGAAGCATGACATACTTTTCATCCGGATCGAGTGCGTCGCACGTGTTGGAAATTTCCGAGTCTGGTGCTGTGCGGCATACTTCAGCCCGGGCGTTGGTGCAGATACTAAGTGTACGATTCTGTTTCATGGCGGCGAACCCTCAAACGAGGGAAGATACAACACTGGCAGTTTGACGCAATCAGCAAGGTGAAGAGCTTTGCCCTCTAGTCTGGTTGGAAAACAAATGCTTGTTGATCTTGGAGAATCTAGATCTCATGGTATTGTCTTTATAAGATCTAAATCTAGCTCATTATTATTTTTCCTTCCTTCCTCATCATAATCGTCCATCATCAGTGTCGTTGGTTCTTTTCTTTCTCTATTATTCTCTTTCATGAGATCGTTCTATACACCGAATTTACATTCCTTAAATCGCGTAGCATATACCTCGAAACTATCCTGCAAAGTTGTTCTTCAGTACCATATCGCTTCTGTGTAAAAGCACGAGGGACATCGGGGAAGCGGGAATCAAGTGATGGCCCGGCTGTGGTGACTTTCCGCAATGGCTAGGTGGGGGGGCGGGTTGGGGCCTTTCTGCCGGGGTGAGGGGATGGGTTGCTGCGGTTGGCTATTGGGAGGGCAAGTAGCGGGTGGAGGAGCAAGAAGGGGGGAGGAGTGTTGTGGAGTTTTGGACTTTGAGTAATCTTTATCTCCGCCGTTTCCAACCGGCAAGTGACAATTGTCAGTAACAAATATGATGTGCCTTAAGTATGCCGCGATGACCGGCGGTCAGTACCCGGAAACCTCGCTACCATGACCTGGCCTCCCTCCCCTTACATCATAGGCAGTAAGCTGATTTCCGGAACGGCCCTGCTGGGGGAATTTGAGTTTTGTGGAGATCTTGCTTTGATGAAATACTTTTTTTTTTCTTTACTCCTTCCTCTAACCCTCCTATATAGAGAAGCCATGAAACATTATGTAGAAGAGGGGGGCTTCCGAATCCAGCAGCCGGTTGTGGATTACATTATCATGATTTGGCGATTATGCGTGCCCGCATATGATAAAAAATAGTCCCGCGGGTTTATTGCCTCCCCCACCTCCCGAGATACACGCCCCATGTGCTCTCTTACGCGCCTCACCAAGCTTCCGTTCTTTTTTGTTTGCCTTGGTGAACAGTAGATATTGTATTCGAAACAAGTGTTGGCGTTGCAATCATAGGCTGTCACTCGGTAGGAACTAGGCTATGATACAAAAAGTGAGTATACGGTAGTGAATTTAGGTGGCGCACCCCATGGTAAGATCTGGTATAATATTTACTGGGCGCCCTTGGTCGGTTGGGTCCACGCAAAGAAGGTGTGGCTCCGTACCCGGGGTATCGATGGCCACGGAAGGGAGGCAGGGCCAACTACCAGTGGCGTTTAGCGGGGTGGATGCGAGGGGGAGGGGAGAATTTACATAGACCGTTCGCAGGGGTTAAATGAGAGCCCGGTTTGGGTCAAGTTTTTAAACACAAACACAATTAACCTTTGTCTGGGGGTCCGGATAAGAGGTGTTTGTGGATCCGACTTGGCTCTTTTCTCCATGGTGTGTCTAATTGCATGCGGTCCGCGTGCACTACCGAAGCTTTTGATTCCGTGAATCTTGTCTTGGCCTCTACCGATCTATGGTGGGGGTTGGATATTGGAGATTCGCGTGTTATAAGGGGGGATTTAGTCTATTGGCGCATTGGGCTCTCCTATTGTAGGAGAAACTAGTACTCGGCATTAATTTTATGGTTCGGGATGGCGTTTTTCGGGCTTGCGTTCTGTAGCTGTGGATTACGAGACGGTTTTGGTACAATACTGTGACGGCAGGTTTTATTTCGGTCTAACGGGGGGGCGGGTAGAAACATAGTAGACAAGATTCAGAAATTCCCTTTATGAAGTAGCTTAAATTGTAATTACATAAATGACTATTCCTACATGAGCAGAAATGCGAAATTATGTAAGAAAGGGGATAAATATGAGCTAGTGAAAAGACAGGAAAGAGTATATCTGTCTAGATTACTAAAGGGATAAAACCTGCAAAAGAAAATCCTTATAGAAGAGGGGCCTAACCCGGCCTACCGTCCCCGCCCACAAATATGAAAATCCGAGACAAATAATATCCTTGTAACAATGATTGATAATAAGACAAGCAAGAGAAGTGTATGTAGGAAACAGATTCATATGGTGATGAATCAAGGAAATGGATAGGTCCCCTCTGAGTCAGGTGTGAAACCCGGTGGTCGAGGCCGTAGGTGAAGCCGGGGGAATAGGCTTGTCTTGACAAAATTAGCTGCATCGGGCGAAAAGGGGTAAAATTGTGGGAGGACTTACTAGCTGTATATCTTAAGCACCAGTGTGTATGAAGGGGGCCCATAGGAGAGGGTTGCCTGGCGTAGCATCCCGAACTTTCTTCACGGCTTTGTAAAAAGCGGTAGAGACCCTCTGGTGGTCGTCGCAGCTGTCTCCCTGATCTTGTAGAAGCAAGTCGTAGAAGTCTCTCGCAACTTCACAGGCTGCGCTATCATCGGTTTCCCAGATGTTTGCGAATGTATGGCTGAATCCGGCGAGCTGAAATGCGCTTGCAAGGTGTATCATCTCGTCGGCTAACCCTACGGAGGGGTTTCTGGCGGAGGAGCAAGCCGAAAGGTATGCAATCTGCGCATTTTTCACAACCACATTTGATATATCTCGCGCCATGAGTTTATCAGGATTAACACCATCTTGGCTAAACAGAACCAAGTGGCTGTCTGAAGGGTTGATGCAAGACACTCCGTGACAGGCGAAATGAACAATGTCATGGTACTTAACTTTCTCGAGGACTTCAACCGGGGTTGGATTCATCACAACTGTGGTCTCAATCGAATGCTCGTCAGAGGAATCAAGTATATGTTTAATTTCATTACCAACACCGGGCAGGTCGATGGCACCGGGTGTTTTCGGCATGGGAACAAGGAGTAAGCATGGGTTCCGTTTTTTAAGTATTTTGGCTTTCTTGGAGCGTTCCGGTGAAAATGAAGAACAGGGTTCCCCAAACAGGTGGAGTTGTTTTTGGCGTGCATAGGAGAGAGCTTTGATTGTGGGGATATATGTTGAAATGGCTCGACTTAAGGTGTTACAGGTTGACCCTCGCGTATGGTCCCCCGCCGCATGGAAAGGTGCCATACTTAATGGCCCTACCCCAATCCACCAAATCCGCTTCAAATTGGTGTCATCAGTACCCTCACTGATAATGGCGCCGATATCATCAAGGTAGTCAAAAACTGGACCCACAGCCGCATCCCATAACCAAGCGAGGAGGCCTTTCATTCCTTTGGTATCCTGACCTCGCTTAAACGCGGATCCTCCCCCAAAACTAGTTAATTGTACCACTCGGCTGATTGTTTCGTAATAGGTCAATTTCGGAAGTTCCAATGAAGTTATAGCTGAGGTGGTGACAATTATGGCGTCGCTCCTATAAGTGGTGCAGTTGAAGACAACGATTGGACCATTGATTGCCATTTTCATCAGTGCATCCTGGGAAGGTGGAAGCAGGAATCCGGCGTAGCCTGGTAAACTGCGGATGTATCTTAGAGTTTCTTCCATCTCATTGACAGCATCCCACCGTCTGGATATAATATTTTGGCGTTTATTGGGTGTTTCACCACTTGTGCTGTTGATTCCATCTGTTGACAAGTCAATCTCAACTCGAAGACGGTGAAATCGGTCGAATGTGAGTGGGTGGTCAGTTTTGAGGTCCGAAACCTCGGATCTTGAGTCAATTAAAAAGCCCATAATTATCCCACGACCAAGCTCTAGTATCCTGAGACTATCATAGGCTTCTCGGCTGGCCTGAAGAGCCACAGAAGCAGCAATTGAGGCTAGGCCGGAAAGTTCCGATAGTATGTGCTGCGGGTCATCGCGTTTGAGGAACCTTAGATCAACACTGGGCATTAAATTAACTGCATCCTCGAGTATGGAAATTGGTTCACGAAACTTTCCAGCTGAATATAGTAAAGAAGCTGCTTTGCGAGCCGCGTGAATGCGCACCCTGGGCGGCGAGGTGCGGCAAGCGTGGGCCTCAATGTGTAGGCGGAGGCTTCTATCTGGGTCATTCGCGGGGTGAGGCCGTGAGAATCGTGATTCTAGAGGTGAACCAAGGAGACCGCAGATATCCGCATGGGATGGGTGATCTCGGGGGGTAGCAGCTAGTGCCTCCTCGGCGTGCTCAATGGCTTTTTGGAGGTCTCCGAGGTCTCCTATCTGCTTAAACCTCGAAGACAACTGGGATCCCAGGTTATTGTGTAAGGTCGCTCGCAGTGGGTGGTCTCGGGGGGCAGCAGCTAGTGCCTCCTCGCCGTGCTCAATGGCTTTTTGGAGGCCTCCGAGGTCTCCTATCCGCTTGAATCTCGAAGACAAAAAGAATCCCAGGTTATTGTGTATAGTCACTCGGAGTGGGTGATCTCGAGGGGTAGCATCTAGTGCCTCCTCGCCGTGCTCAATGGCTTTTTGGAGGTCTCCGAGGTCTCCTATCCGCTTAAACCTCGAAGACAAAAAGGTTCCCAGGTTATTGTGTCTACTGGCTCGATCGGCGTGATTCTGAGGGATAGCAGTTAGTGCCTTCTCGGCGTGATAAATGGCTTTTTGTAGGTCTCCTAGGTCTCCTATCCGCTCAAACCTTGAAGACAACCGGGACCCTAAGTTATTGTGCCTACTTGCTCGATCTGGGTGATCTTGAGGAGTAGCTGCTAATGCTTCCTGGGCGTGATCAATGGCTTTTTGGAGGTCTCCTAGGTCTCCTATCCGCTCGAACCTTGAAGACAACAAGGATCCCAGGTTGCAGTATCTACTTGCTCGATCGGGGTGATTTTGAGGGGTAGCAGCTAATGCTTCCGTGGTGTGCTCGATAGCTTTTTGGGGGTCTCCTAGGTCTCCTATGCGCTTAAACCTCGAACACAACCGGGATCCCAGTTGATTCTGTGTACGTGCTCGATCGGGGTGATCTTGAGGGGTAGCAACTAATGCCTCCTCAGCATGTTCAATTGCTTTTTGGAGATCTCCTAGGTCTCCTAGCCGCTCAAATCTCGAAGACAAAAAGGATCCCAGGTTATTGTGTCCCCCTGCTCGATCGGGGTGATCCTGCGGGATAGCAGTCAATGCCTCCTCGCCGTGCTCAATGGCTTTTTGGATGTCTCCGAGGTCTCCTGTCCGCTCAAACTTCGAAGACAACCAGGATCCCAAGTTGAGTTGCATGGCTGCTCGATTGTGGTGATCTTGAGGGGTAGCAGCTAATGCCTCCTCGCCACGCTCAATGGCTTTTTGGAGGTCTCCTAGGTCTCCCATCCTCTTAAACCTCGCTGCTAAGCATGTTCCCAGGTTTATTTGTGTCGCCGCTCGGCTGGGGTGATTCTCGAGGGTAGCGGCTAGTGCCTCCTCACCATTCTTGATCGCTTTTTGAAGGCTCCAAGCGTCTCCTGTTCGCTCGTACCTTCCAAAGGATATAATTCCCAATGTCTCAAGGGCATTGGTGTGTTCCGGGCCCCCGCTAATGGTCTGCCTCAATAATTCCCCACTTGTGGCGGCAGCCGATTCCAGATCATTTATGTCACCAAGCCGCTCAAATCTTTTTAACAACAAGAAGGTCTGGCTAGTGTTGTGCACGAGCCGAGCGGACTCGAGCCAGACTCGAGCCGAGCCGGGCTCGAGCCCTTCGAGCCTGGGGGGCCTCGAGCCAAGTGGACTCGAGCCTAGGTGGTCATTAGGCTCGAGCC